AAAACGAGTTTTAATGACTCCAACCTAAGTGTATGTAAACTTCTGACTTCAACTGTATATAAGTAGTGACAAGAGGAATGAATACACTGTAAATAACGAGTAACAATGACGACTAAAAATGAAATGGCTATATACAGGGAGTACCAGCTACATACAGGGAGTTACCAGGTTACGTAACGCTGCATGGGCCCAGACCAAGCTTGGTCTATTGTGCTGGTTTCCTCATCTCTCTGTATAGTGTGAAAATGGAAAGTGAACAGCAGTACAGCCTAATTACTGTATGGGCTGCAAGGCATGGTGCTCAGCAACCGAGGGGAAAGAGGAGAGATGGGGAAAAAAGAGGGGGAGAGGGTGAAAAGGGTCCATATCAGGGTATATCTTTACATGAAACGTTTTCAGACCATTTCTAATGCATATTTGGAGATTTGTGGATATGCACCATATCCTGACAAATTCTGAATCCATATGTGTCTTTTAGACATATTTGATATTGGGATTACTTTCGAATATCATACATGGACATTTCCTATGGCCAGATATGTACTCATTTGATATCCTGAGATATGTGACATCTTATTTTCTCTCTTCATGTTGACAAATACTGACTGTATACATATAATATCTGTGTTTGCTGGGTTACATTCAATTGCTCTGCAGCTCCTCCAAATTGTAAGTGTGTTGATGCAATCAAGGTGACATTGATTATACCCAGCTTGTATTTCACATTCAAAATGAATCTTAATAGCAATAGTTATTGTACAGTAGCCCCTGCTTTCAAATTCCCATAAAGTCATTCAGATATGAAAGCAGGAAAAATTATCCCAGGACTGGCAGGCGAAGTCGCCCTTGACTTGTAGTCACTGCTGTACATGGAATGTTTTTGTCTTACTATATCGGTGATGTCAAATCTCTGAGAAACCCTTGGAGTTGTCAGCGGTAATTAGCTTGCAGATTAATCCGCTGGAACGTGCTTTTGTTTGGCATTCTCCCACAGCGCATGTGAAATAAAGAAAGAGCAGATCATCAAATACAATGTGAATATCAATGAATGGACTAAATCGGCCTAGTCCCCAGCTCCCTGATGCAATTATTTTCTATTCACATTAATTATTGCTAACAGATGACACTAATGACTTTCAGCGAAAGCTGGCGATGGCAGCCCTGTTAGGGATCAATGCTATTTAAAAAGGGGTCGCAGCACACCTAACACTTTCCGTCTATCAAAATGTTTTGCATGTCAGCAATCAAGTTTTCAAGATATAGAATGTTCGAAATACAGAAAGTGTCACTTTAGTGGGTGCAGTGAAATGCTTGTGTTACTAGCTCCTAACAGTGCAGAAAAAATTTCAAACAAGTACAACAAAAACTAGAAACAAGAAATCAGGAATGTGAGAAGGAATCCAGTTAACCAAATTAACACTTTCTCAGTAATCGAAACGCAATCTACGCATAAATACACCAAAAATATATATTAAGAATGATATGTACACCAGTAGATATATTACAGTGAGCTACGTCGAGAATTCAGTGTATAAATAAAGAGTGTAACAAAATGCGATGTACAGTAGTAGATATATTAGAATGAGCTCTGTGAAGAATATATTATATGAACACACTGTGTGAAAAACAGTATAAAAGAAACGGTCCAGTGTTTATTGTCTCTATATACATGGGACAGCAGCATTGGCTGTGTGTGTGTGTGTGTGTGAGTGTATATGTGAGTACTGGAGTCTGTGTTTTAATGAGGTGACAAGCTTTGTCTCTTACTACAGGAGATGGTGCGGTGGCTGTTCAACAGTCTGATTGCCTGGAGATAGAAGTTGTTTTTTAGTCTCTTGGTACTGAGTTTGATGCACCTGTGCTCTCTCTGTCTGCTAGATGGTAGCAGAATGAACAGACCGTGACTCGGGTGGCTGAGGTCCTTGATGATCTTCTTGGCCTCACCCATCAAGTGTGGCTGAGGGATGGCCAAGTAGACCTACCATTCTGGGCACTAAAACATTCTCCCTTTGCTCACAGGCTATGTGATTGAAAGTTAGATAAAGCGTTTTCCTTTTGGGAAACGAGGTCCCATGGTTCCAGCCAGAGAGACAGAGGTTAAGAGAGGAGGAATGAGGCTGAGTCATAGACCACTGCATGATTAGCGATCACTGCCCGTCCTGTAGACTCACGCTAAACAACAGTATTACTCATCTGACATTTGTCATTTATTATGCATTCACTTTTAAGATATGATAGAACTCCAAAAACCCAAGGGTCTACAGGCTCAGTGAATTGTATATCTCTCTCTTGGCACTGAGACCACAGATTGTAAAGTGTTCAGAAACTGGGATACAATCCATTGTGCGTTATAGCAGAGGGCACTATACAGTCGGCAATGCGCCTTTCAAAGCATTTTCGCTGATGTCCACATAGATTGCATTCATTCGGCTAAAGGGGAAATTAGCTCTAAAAGTCTGTTATAGTGCCCTGCGCTGTAATGCACATTGGATTGAATCTCAGCCTTAGTTTCTGACTGTTGACCATGTGTCCAACAATACATAATCAAGACAAAACAAAGATTTGTCTGCATGCACAGAGAAGATGAGTGAATACCCGCATTGTAGAGTGGGATTCCTGTGACAAGTGGAGTGGAGAATGTCATTCTTATCCTTAATCAGCCTTTGGATGGAAAGGGATATTAATGTATTCAGCATATTGATTACTCTAGTTCTGTGAAAAATACAAATAGAGAGCTAGAGGGAACCATCTCGGTTGTGCATTGTGCAAAGCATTGAGATTATCTAATGAATACAATGCAAGGCATTATTTGCAAGAGCACAAAACTGACTCGTGTAAAAATAGATTGGTTATACACAAAACTTGAATCGTCATCAACATTACCTGGTTACCCGTATTTGGCTATATTGAACAAACAAGCATTTTATCCTCTGTGTGGTATTGCAATGTGAATCAATAATCAATGGCAATTAACACTGACACTTTGTGAATCGCGCAATCTATCCATTAACATGCTAATAAAGGTACGTACAGTGGGGAGAACAAGTATTTGATACACTGCCGATTTTGCAGGTTTTCCTACTTACAAAGCATGTAGAGGTCTGACATTTTTATCATAGGTACACTTCAACTGTGAGAGACGGAATCTAAAACAAAAATCCAGAAAATCACATTGTATGATTTTTAAGTAATTAATTTGCATTTTATTGCATGACATAAGTATTTGATCACCTACCAACCAGTAAGAATTCCGGCTCTCACAGACCTGTTAGTTTTTCTTTAAGAAGCCCTCCTGTTCTCCACTCATTACCTGTATTAACTGCACCTGTTTGAACTTGTTACCTGTATAAAAGACACCTGTCCACACACTCAATCAAACAGACTCCAACCTCTCCACAATGGCCAAGACCAGAGAGCTGTGTAAGGACATCAGGGATACAATTGTAGACCTGCACAAGGCTGGGATGGGCTACAGGACAATAGGCAAGCAGCTTGGTGAGAAGGCAACAATTGTTGGCGCAATTATTAGAAAATTGAAGAAGTTCAAGATGACGGTCAATCATCCTCGGTCTGGGGCTCCATGCAAGATCTCACCTCGTGGGGCATCAATGATCATGAGGAAGGTGAGGGATCAGCCCAGAACTACACGGCAGGACCTGGTCAATGACCTGAAGAGAGCTGGGACCACAATCTCAAAGAAAACCATTAGTAACACACTACGCCGTCATGGATTAAAATCCTGCAGCGCACGCAAGGTCCCCCTGCTCAAGCCAGCGCATGTCCAGGCCCGTCTGAAGTTTGTCAATGACCATCTGGATGATCCAGAGGAGGAATGGGAGAAGGTCATGTGGTCTGATGAGACAAAAATAGAGCTTTTTGGTCTAAACTCCACTCGCCGTGTTTGGAGGAAGAAGAAGGATGAGTACAACCCCAAGAACACCATCCCAACTGTGAAGCATGGAGGTGGAAACATCATTCTTTGGGGATGCTTTTCTGCAAAGGGGACAGGACGACTGCACCGTATTGAGGGGAGGATGGATGGGGCCATGTATCGCGAGATCTTGGCCAACAACCTCCTTCCCTCAGTAAGAGCTTTGAAGATGGGTCGTGGCTGGGTCTTCCAGCATGACAACGACCCGAAACACACAGCCAGGGCAACTAAGGAGTGGCTCCGTAAGAAGCATCTCAAGGTCCTGGAGTGGCCTAGCCAGTCTCCAGACCTGAACCCAATAGAACATCTTTGGAGGGAGCTGAAACTCCGTATTGCCCAGCGACAGCCCCGAAACCTGAAGGATCTGGAGAAGGTCTGTATGGAGGAGTGGGCCAAAATCCCTGCTGCAGTGTGTGCAAACCTGGTCAAGACCTACAGGAAACATATGATCTCTGTAATTGCAAACAAAGGTTTCTGTACCAAATATTAAGTTCTGCTTTTCTGATGTATCAAATACTTATGTCATGCTATAAAATGCAAATTAATTACTTAAAAATCATACAATGTGATTTTCTGGATTTTTGTTTTAGATTCCGTCTCTCACAGTTGAAGTGTACCTATGATAAAAATGACAGACTTCTACATGCTTTGTAAGTAGGAAAGCCTGCAAAATCGGCAGTGTATCAAATACTTGTTCTCCCCACTGTAGGTGGTACTATGGCCTCTTTTGCTGCACACATGAATTGCTGATTTGTATCGTATAGGGTAAACTGAGCTGTGGGTGCTTTCATCACTCTGCTTCACAGAGAGAAAGAAAAAACAACACACGTGATGAAAAGTTGATTTTATCCTGACTCACCAAGACCCAGTAAAAAAAAAGTTAATTGTGAACTGCTTAACGTATTTGGTAAAACTATAGGAAAATATTTGTAATTGCTCTGAAGATGGACTTTCTACCAAAATCTTCTCAAAATAAACCTTTATTTTCATTACAGTCACTTCTCTCTGCTGACACTTCACTTCCATGTGTCTATCTTTTCAATAAAGTTTGAATTTAATTTCTGAACACACTATTTTCCAGGAGGTCCAGCGGAAAGGGAAGACAAGTGTTCCTGCAGGGAGGTGGCCCAGCCTGCTGAGTCTAACCTGTCCACGCAGTAGCTGCAGCGGCAGTGAGGCCTCATTATCCAGCGCCTCTACTGAGTACTCCAGTGGCTCACACACTTGGGCAGAAGGACATCGCTCCTCCAAGCAGGTCAGTCTCCCAGTCTGAATAAACAAATTGCGTAAAGTGAGGTAATTTTTCATAAATTACTATGTAGGATGGATCCTCAACGTTCATCAAGAAATTCCAATGTCTTTATTTTTGTTGTTGTAGACAACTAAATTGTCTTTCTCTTTTGTCACAGTCTGCGATAAGCCGGGAGAAAAGGATGAGCGCAGGGTCAGTGTCCAGTAATCACTCTGTCCCAGCAGAGCAACCAGATCTAAGCTGGAAGGAGGGCCACATTCTGAAGGGCCTGAAGAGGCTCCAAATGCGCAGCCCAGCTCCCAAGGAGACATCTTCACTCGTCTCTAAGTCACATTTCAAGGACTGCATGACCTCCAATGAGGCCATATACTCTCTAGGGGTAAAGGGTGGGCCCCAGGGGGTAGTGCCCAAATTGGCATTGGCAAAGGGAAAGCCTTTCAAGCCAGGAGCAGGAGTCTGTACCTTAATCTCTGACTCAGACGATGCAGATGATGAATCGCCTCAATCCCCAGCCTGGGAGTCCTGTGACCAACCCATTAAAGAGACTCTCCAACTGGAAGGAGAGCCTCCGTCTGAATTGGGAACGGCACAAGGGGGAAAGAGCTCTACGGGCTACAACTCCCAAGAGGAGCCTGTAAGACTCGTAAGAAGTCCCAGCAACTCCTTCTCACCTATCAAAGATGTCTTCTTGCACGAGGGTCCCACACTGAAGCCTGGACTCAGCCCAACGGCGAGCCCTACCACTATGAGTGGACTTGAGAGTAAAAACTGGATAGACAAAGACAAGCGGTCTGCCTTTACAGAGTGGAACATTAGGGAGAGTTACAATTTGAGGCCAGAGAGTGTTAAACAGCCACAAAATAAAGTTGCGGTCAAACATCTAGAGGCACGGGCTAAGGAAGTGAGTCTACCCATTCGGTGTGCAGCAGCCAGAGCTCTGAGTTGGGTTAGTGAGGCCAGACAGCGCAGTGCTTCCATGGATACAAAGCAGTACAGAGAGCCGAACAGCCAGGGTGGAGTTGATACCAAGGACTACACCATTTTGGAGTCCCGACAGAGGAAAACAAAGCCTAAGGCCTGCGACTCAGCAAGGAAGGCCTTTATCCTCCGAAGCAAGAGTGCGGACGGAGGTCCAGACCAGGCCAAGCTGCATCAGCCCCTACATCAGAAACTTGTAAAAGTCAATCAAAGGGCCAAGAACCGCTCAAACCCTCCTGGGCCCAGTGGCACTCACACAAAGATTAACCTCAGCAAGGCACCAGGTCCAGCTAAGGCATCAGTACAAATTGCTGAGAAAGGTGAGACTGCTACTGGTGCAAGAACTTCAGCGCCCCTTGAGAGTACAGTACAGGGCTCCCCCTCTTCTTCCCCTCAGAAACTGGTCAAAGTATTTGAGCCACCTGTGCTGAATGATTGCCCCAAGAGCGCATCTAAAGTATCCCAAACAGTATCCAAACTCCCATCAAGAAACGACTGTGGGGTAAAAGGCCCCAACTCCAAAAATGCAGCTGGCTCTCCACTTAAACAGAGGCAGCAAGACCAGCACTCGGATTCCCCTTGCAATGATATCAGGTCCCCTTCACCTCCACTCCCACCAGGTCGGACCACCTCCCTACTGATTCAAACTGGTTATGACTCCTTACCTCAGGCGCATAAGCCTGTGGTTCAGCCCCAAACCTCTAGCACCGTGAAGGCAACCACTCGTAGCATCAAACCTCAGTCAAGTCATCATTCATCTGTTTTACAAATGCAACCTCAAGCCCCCAACAAAATGCAAGACACTCGTCATATGGCTCCCAAAATGGGTGTTGAGGTGAAAAAGTCACCGAAACGGGTCCCTGCCAAAGTCTACCATCCCTTACCAACTTCTACCCCTATTCAAGAATCCAAGGAAACAGACTCGTCCCAATCCTCAATGAGCAGGACTGTGGCACAAGCCTCCCATCAGCAAAATAGTGTCCCCTTTGTGGTGCCAAATCAGGACAGCTTACCTGTGTCCCAGCAAGGCAATGGTGAGCCACAAAGTACAGAGCCCTTACCTCAGGCCTCAGAATCTCTTCTTTGCCATGACATAGTTAGTAACTCTCAACATTCTGTGACCAGGGCAGTAAATGCATCCCTTCCTGTTGGCTCCAAAACCAATGAGACAACCCCAAAGCTGGGCAACAACTTTGCAGTTATCACGGCTACAAAGGGAGTGCAGACTTTTGACACCTCCAACCAGGACACCCACACACGTCCAATGATGCACTGTGTCAATGCAGCTGTAGCCAAGGCCAAAGCCAGGAGAAAGCTTGAGACCCGCTGTAGCTCACTAGAGGAGCCTGCACTCCCACCTCCAGTGGCAGAAAATTGTGTAACTTTGGACTGGGGATTTGATGAAGAGAGCTGGCTATTCAAGCGCTCGGTCTCAGTCTCGACCCGGCATCCTCTCCATCCGGTTATGGGCATGAACGGAGCAAAGGCACGCAGTCAAAGCTTCGGGGCACGCTACATGGACAGACCGAACATCAGCAGGTCTGGAAAAGTCCGTACTCACATCAAAACTAACTTAGGAAGCTCTTTGAATTCTCTTGGTGATGTATTTCGGGGTAGTATGAGTTGCTCCAATAGCTACCATTGTCCAATGAACAGATCCCACATCAACAAATTCATGATTGAGGAAGACTTGCCAATACCTCTGCATCTGGAGGCTTCCAGTGATCAATTTGGTCTCAAACACCAGAGGGTAAACTCATTATCACATCTCCAGACTGAGAAACAGTATCCTAGCACCTTTTGTGAACGCATCCATGGGGAACAAGAGAGACAGTCAACAATCTCCACCATTGAGGAGAAGGTCATGATGGGAATCGAGGAGAATTTGCAGAAATCTCAGCAGCAGGAGAAGACAACTGAAACTAAGCAGAAATCCGGTTCACTGGCAAACTGGTTTGGATTCCGCAAGAGCAAGCTCCCTGCTCCGAGAGGTAAAAAAGGAGATTCTCCAAAGGGAAAGGAGGAGAAGAAGGAACCAAAGCTTGGATCTCTCTTGGGTGGGAAGCAGGCAAAGTCCGACAAAATGAAGGAGAGGAGGAAAAGTGAAGGTCATCGAATGGATGGGTAAGGCTTTTATAATGCTGAGGTGGGGTAGCTGAGAAGTCATGTTCACTGTTTTACTGCTGGGAAAATAATGTTTATGAGGCTTCAAGCCAATGTAACTTCTCATTCATTACAAAAATAACCTTGCTTTAATGTAATGCATTGGTCATATTTACCAAAGGCCGAAATCTACTGTCACTTTTCAGTGAAAGTTGATTTTTGATATTGGCTTCAGTAATGATTAAAATCAATAAAATCCAACATCAGTATCTCGGCTTAAAACTACTAAGTTCTCAATTTTGAGTCATACCTCATGTACACTGAACCATCACAACTTGACTGAACCATCAAACAGATCTCTTCATATCTTTCCATGAGGTGATTTGCTGCCCCAGATAGCCTAAGCCATTTTTATCAAGCGCTGTTTGAAACATGTATCACTCCACTAAGCCCCGAGACCAGTTCAGACACATTTTATACCCATATAGCATAGCGAGGTATGCAGTGGCTTCACATTATCATCTATTATCTGAAACACCCTGGGCATGTTGAGTCAGTATGAAAGACTTGTAGATTATAGTGGTAGAGTGAAAACCTGTTTTATTTCAGCTCGGTTGGGAAAAGAGACTCCAAAGATGCATTGCTCCTCTGCCTTTCGATGGCCTCCCAGGGAGCCCCAAGTAACAGCAACATGCAAGGACAAACCGCCATCTGTGGGGACACAAAGGTACATTCAATTATTACCTGACATGAGGAGAAGGACTGTGTTATCGGTTTAGGGTCCATTTTATGTAGATTTCAGTCAACGCAGGGATTAAATTGAACTTGGAATTAGAATTGAGAACTGTTCAATTAACCTTATGGGCATTTTCCCATACAAATTCTATGTCCAATTCAATTCCTGAATTGACTGGAAAATGTATTGACCATAACTCTACAATGTGTCCATTTCATGTCTAATGATTCAGTTATGGGATATGCATGCAAGGTCCCATCTAATGGAAAAATAGAGATGTGAGATTAATTCAAAGGGAAAAGGGGTGGGTGACAGAAAGAAAGGAAAATATGAGAAGAATATAAAGGACCCAGGAAGAAATGTGGCATATCAGATAGGGTGAAAGACAAAAAAGACAAGAAGGGAGAGAAGGTGAATAGGGAGAGAAAATTGTAACAAAGAATAATAAACAAATAAACACCACAGCTTCTGGATATCAGAACAGTGATTACTCACCTCGAACTGGACAAAGGTTTTTTCTTTAACGAGTCGGACGCAAAGGATTTACTCCAGAGACCGGACCAGGCCCAAATCCCTGTCATTTGCATGAAGAAAAGACGCCGATACAGGGGACGCAGGTCCAGGTGCCTTGTGAGAATTCGTCGGCGAGTGGGTAACCCACCGCTACCATCCGTCCTATTGGCCAAAGTGCAATCATTGGAGAATAAACTGGATGAGCTCCATTCAAGACTATCCTACCAATGGGACATTAAAAACTGTAAAATCTTATGTTTCACCGAGTCGTGGCAGAACGATGACTTTGGATGATATACAGTTGGCTGGTTTTTCCGTGCATCGGCAAGACAGAACAGCTGCCTCTGGTAAGACAAGAGGTGGCGGTCTGTGTCTATTTGTCAATAACAGCTGGTGCACAAAATAAAATATTAAGGAAGTCTCTAGGTTTAGCTAGTCTGAGGTAGAGTATCTCATGAGAAGCTGTAGACCACACTATTTACCAAGAGAGTTCTCTAGATCTATATTTTTCGTAGCTGTCTATTTAACACCACAAACCGATGCTGGCACTAAGACCGCACTCAACGAGCTCTATAAAGCCGTAAGCAAACAAGAAAACGCTCATCCAGAGGCGGAGCTCCTAGTGGCCGGGGACTTTAATGCAGTGAAACTTAAATCCATTTTCTATAATTTCTAACAGCATGTTACATATGCAACCAGATTTTAAAAAAAACTCTAGACCACCTTTACTCCACACACAGAGACGCGTAAAAAGCTCTCCCTCGCCCTCCATTTGGCAAATCTGACCATAATTCTATCCTCCTGATTCCTGCTTACAAGCAAAAACTAAAGCAGGAAGTACCAGTGACTCACTCAATACAGAAGGTGTCAGATGACCCAGATACTAAGCTACAGGACTGTTTTGCTAGCACAAACTGGAATATGTTCTGGGACTCATCCGATGGCATTGAGGAGTATACCACATCAGTCACCGGCTTCATCAATAAGTGCATCGATGTCATTGTCCCCGCAGTGACTGTACATACATACCCCAACCAGAAGCCATGGATTACATTTTAGTCATTTAGCAGACGCTCTTATCCAGAGCGACTTACAGTTAGTGAGTGCATACATTTTTCATACTGGCCCCCGTGGGAAACGAACCCACAACCCTGCCGTTGCAAGCGCCATGCTCTACAACTGAGCTACACGGGGGTTTAAAGTTATATTTTTTAGTGATCCAATTGACATTTTATAATTTAGCAGATGCTCTTATCCAGAACGACTTCCAATTAGTGAGTGGATACATTTTTCATACTGGCCCCCCGTGGGAATCGAACCCACAACCCTTGCGTTGCAAGTGCCATGCTCTACCAACTGAGCTACAGGAGGTCCAGGCAACATCCGCATTGAGCTAAAGGGTGACACAAGCCTACCAGACAAGCTAAATTACTTCTATGCTCGCTTCGAGGCAAGCAACACTGAAGCATGCATTAGAGCACCAGCTGTTCCGGACGACTCTGTGATCACGCTCACCGTAGCCGATGTAAGACCTTTAAACAGGTCAACATTCACAAGACCACAGGGCCAGACGGATTACGAGGATCTGTACTCCGAGCATGCGCTTACCAACTGGCAAGTGTCTTCACTGATATTTTCAACCTCTCCCTGGCCGAGTCTATAATACCTACACGTTTCAAGCAGACCACCATAGTCCCTGTGCCCAAGAACACCAAGATAACCTGTCTAAATGACTACCGACCCGTAGCACTCACGTCTGTAGCCATGAAGCGCTTTGAAAGGCTGTTCATGGCTCACATCAACATCATCATCCCAGTAACCCATTCCAATTTGCGTACCGCCCCAACAGATCCACAGATGATACAATCTCTATTGCACTCAACACTGACCTTATCCCACCTGGACTAAAGAAACACCTACGTGAGAATGCTGTTCATTGACTACAGTTCAGCGTTCAACACCATAGTGCCCTCAAAGCTCATCACTAAGCTAAAGACCCTGGGACTAAACACCTTCCTCTGCAACTCGATGCTGGACTTCCTGACGGACCGCCCCCAGGTGGTAAGAGTAGGCAGCAACACATCTGCCAAACTGATCCTCAACACAAGGGCCCCTCATGGGTGCGTGCTTAGTCCCTTCCTGTACTCCCTGTTTACCCATGATTGCGTGGCCAAGCACGACTCCAACACCATCATTAAGTTTGCAAACAACACAATGGTGGTAGGCCTGATCACCGACAACGATGAGACAGACTATAGGGAGGAGGTCAGAGACCTGGCAGTGTGGTGCCAGGACAACAACCTCTCCCTCAACATGACCAAGACAAAGGAGATGATCGTGGACTACAGGAAAAGGAGGACCGAGCATGCCACATTCTCGTCAACGGGGCTGTAGTGGAGCAGGTTGAGAGCTTTAAGTTAATTGGTGTCCACATCACCAACAAACTATCATGGTCCAAACACACAAAGACAGTTGAGAAGAGGGCACAACAACGCCTATTCCCCTCAGGAGACTGAAAAGATTTGGCATGGGTCCTCAGATCCTCAAAAGGTTCCACAGCTGCACCATCGAGAGCATCCTGACTGGTTGCATCACCGCCTGGTGTGGCAACTGCTCGGCCTCCGACCGCAAGGCGCTACAGAGGGTAGCGCGTACGGCCCAGTACATCACTGAGGCCAAGCTTCCTGCCATCCAGGACCTCTATACCAGGCAGTGTCAGAGGAAGGCCCTATAAATTGTCAAAGACTCCAGCCACCCTAGTCATAGACTGTTCTCTCTGCTACCGCACGGCAAGCGGTACCGGAGTGCCAAGTCTTTTTTTTTACGCTGCTGCTACTCGCTGTTTATTATCTATGCATAGTCACTTTACCCCTACCTACATGTACATATTACCTCAATTACCTCGACAAACCTGTACCACCACACATTGACTCGGTACTGGTAACCCCTGTATATAGGCTTGTTATTGTTATTTTATTGTTGCTCTTTTATTTTTTACTTTAGTTTACTTAGTAAATATTTTTCTTAACTCTTAACTGCATTGTTGGTTAAGGTCTTGTAAGTAAGCATTTCACGGTAAGGTCTATATCTGTTGTATTCGGCGCATGCGACAAATAAAATATGATTTTATTTAATTTGACCTCCTGTGGTATTGATCACTCCAACACATGCTCACATGCACACTAACATGGATGAGATACTGGAGATACTTAATCTACACTGAACAAAAAACATAAACTCAACATTTAAAGTGTTGGTCTCATGTTTCATGAGCTGAAATGTTCCATACACACAAAAAGCTTATTTCTCTCAACTTTTGTGCACAAATTTGTTTACATCCCTGTTAGTGAGCATTTCTCCTTTGCCAAGATAATCCATCCACCTGAGAGGTGTGGCATATCAAGAAGCTGATTAAACAGCATTATCATTACACAGGTGCAGCTTGTGCTGGGGACAATAAAAGGCCACTCTAAAATGTGCATTTCTGTCACATAACACAATGCTACAGTTTTGAGCGAGCATGCAATTGTCATGCTGATTGCATGAATGTCCACCAGAGCTGTTGCCAGCTGTTGCCATGCCTCCAACGTTGTTTTAGAGAATTTGGCAGTATATCCAACCAGCCTCACAACCGCAGACCACGTGTACGGGAATGTGTGGGCGAGCAGTTTGCTGATGTCAACGTTGTGAACAGAGTGCCCCATGGTGGCAGTGGGGTTTTGGTATGGGCAGGCACAAGCTATGGACAACGAACACAATTGCATTTATCGATGGCAATTTTCAGCATGATAATGCACGGCCCCATGTCGCAAGGATCTGTATACAATTCCTGGAAGCTGATAATGTCCCAGTTCTTCCATGGCCTGCCTACTCACCAGACATGTCACCCATTGAGCAGGTTTGGGATGCTCTGGATCAACGTGTACCAAAGTATGTTCCAGTTCCTGCCAATATACAGCAATTGAAGAACAGTGGGACAACATTCCATAGGCCACAATCAACAGCCCGATCAACTCTATGTAAAGGAGATGTGTCGCACTGCATGAGGCAAATGGTGGTCACACCATATACTGACTGGTTTTCTGATCCACAACCCTCCTTTTTTCTTTTAAAGATATCTCTGACCAACAGATGCATATCTGTATTCCCAGTCCTGTGAAATCCATAGATTAGGGACTAATGAATTTATTTCAATTGACTGATTTCCTTATAAAGTGTAACTCAGTAAAATCTTTGAAATTGTTGCATGTTGCGTTTATATTTTTGTTCAGTGTAGATACTGAGGAAAATCTATGGACTATTTTTGATTTGTACAAACATTCACAAGCAGTCTTGATAATAGAGTGATCAATAGAATAAAAATTGCTTGGAAGTATTTTCAGGTGACAGTCCATCATTGTCCTGATGTGATTCAGATAAATATTGTTTACCTGTTGCATGGATAAATGATCAGATAGTCTAGACAGCTAAAATGGCAATTGAATTACAGTTTATTATAGGCCTATCAGAGATTTTCCCACCAAACTTAAGACAGCCGTTGTTCAATTACATTACCAGGGGTGAAAATAAGTCAAAACTATCAAGTTGTCAACTGGCCAAATTGACTTCTTGCTGGTTCACAAACTTTTGTGAGATTGTGCTTTACAAAGAACTGAAATCATGTCTTAACATAGAGGATTGCATGAAAGAGGAACATTTAGTCAGTCAATCAGGGACTCTCTGCCTTTTAAGGAATAGATTCATACCACTCTATAATCATAGATTCAAACCATCATGGTAGATTAAAATTAAATATAAACCATGTAATCACAAGTATAGGCAACTCATCTATTGCTTTACAATTCACATATCCCAATATAGTCCCCTGTTCCTTTCATGTATAATTATTTTTTCTTCTTGCTACCACAAACAGACAAAAACACAGAGGATGAACAGGGCTGATAACGACAAAGGAGCTACATTGAAGAGCCCCAGTGAAGATCACTTGATTGGTAAGGGAATTAAGAAAACTATTTGTATTGAACTTGATAGATGGGCCCTGTCGAAAAGCAACCCCTTGCTCCTACCCATAGGAACTTCATGTAGATTTGTGAGAATTGGGTAGCTGTTTTATGGTAATAGCTCCACCATCCAATCCTATCAGATCTACACAAGTGCACTCTCATCAGTCAAGGCCCATTTTACCCTCTGTTTTAACCCCAATGCAGTGATCTTCAAGATCCTATGAAATTAGAATTCTAATGACTAATTCTATGCTTCAAACCTGGTCCTGAGTACATTTTCATTTCTCATCCTTCGAATTACTCAAGCACTGGTAATGTTGGCAGATTTCCTTAATAGCCCCTTTACCTCTTTTCTGTCATGTCATTTTAACCTATGAACCGGAGTGAAAGGGATGGGATCGCAGTTGAAATAGCAAGGTTGAGAGCAAACACTGTGTTTTGACTGTACGTGACACCCCCTCACCCAGAGTTAACGTTCCATTTTATGCATTTAACTTCACAGAGAAATACTGAAGCACAGTGTGTTCGGTCTTTCTCTCATTAAGGATTATTTAGATAGTATCAAAGCCACAGCCAAGCATGCTAAAATTGTTTCAACTCTGCGTGAGTCTAAGAAGTAATGCAATTTATCCAATTTAAAGGTACCTAGAGGCAACTTCCAAGTGAGTGGAGGTCTAAATGTCACTCAGTATATTTTAGCAATTTGACTTGTACCATTTAAGGACAATATGCTGATGCACGTAAAATATTTGGATATTTGAAATAATCTACTTGTTAAATAGGTCTGCCAAAGACATCTGTAAAATTAGCATGTAAAAAATGCATTTAGTCAAACAAAGGAAAACAATTCTTAAACTACACTGAACAAAAATATAAACGCAACATGCAACAATTTCAAAGACTTTACTGAGTTCATAAGGAAATCAGTCAATTGAAAGACATTCATTAGGCTATAATCTATGGATTTCACATGAGTGGGAATACAGATATACAGTACCAGTCAAAAGTTTGGACACACCTACTCACTCCAGGGTTTTTCTTTATTTTTGCAATTTTCTACATTGTAGAATAATAGTGAAGACTTCAACACTCTGAAATAACACATATGGAATCATGTACTAACCCAAAAAGTGTTAAACAAATGAAAATATATTTTATATTTGAGATTCTTCAAAGTAGCCACCCTTTGCCTTGATGACAGCTTTGCACACTCTTGGCATTCTCTCAACCATCTTCATGAGGAATGCTTTTCCAACTGTCTTAAAGGAGTTCCCACATATGCTGAGCACTTGTTGGCTGCTTTTCCTTCACTCTGCGGTCCAACTAATCCGAAACCATCTCAATTGGGTTGAGGTCGGGTGATTGTGGAGGCCAGGTCATCTGACGCAGCACTCCATCACTCTCCTTCTTGGTCAAATATCCCTTACACAGCCTGGATGTGTGTTTTGGGTCATTGTCCTGTTGACAAACAAATTATAGTCCCACTAAGCGCAAACCAGATGAAATGGCGTATCGCTGCAGAATGCTGTGGTAGCCATGCTGGTTAAGAGTGCCTTGAATTCTACTTTGAAGAATCTCAAATATAAAATATATTTTGATTTGTTTGACACTTTTTTGGTTACTACATGATTCCATATGTGTTATTTCATAGTTTTGATGTCTTCACTATTATTCTACAATATAGAAAATAGTAAAAATAAAGAAAAACCCTTGAATGAGTAGGTGTGTCCAAACTTTTGACTGGTACTGTACAACTGTTGGTTACAGATACCTTACAAAAAAGGTAGGGGTGTGGATCAGAAAGCCAGTCAGTATCTGGTGTGACCACCATTTGCCTCATGCAGCACGACACATCTCCTTCGCATAGAGTTGATCAGGCTGTTGATTGTGGCCTGTGGAATGTTGTCCCACTGCTCTTCAATGGCTGTGCGAAGTTGCTGGATAATGCACCTCCCCATGTCCCAAACATGCTCAAAAGGTGACATGTCTGGTGAGTATTCAGGCCATGGAAGAACTGGGACATTTTCAGCTTCCAGGAATTGTGTACAGATCTTTGCGACATGGGGCCGTGTATTACCATGCTGAAACATGAGGTGATGGTGGCGGATGAATGGCACTACAATGGGCCACATGATCTTGTCATGGTATCTCTGTGCATTCAAATTAACATAGATAAAATGCAATTGTTGTCATTGTCCATAGCTTATGCCTGCCCATAACATAACCCCACCGCAACCATGGGGCCCTCTGTTCACAACGTTGACATCAGCAAACCGCTCGCCCACACGACGCCATAAATGCGGTCTGCCATCTGCCCAGTACAGTTGAAACCGGGATTCATCTGTGAAGAGCACACTTCTCCAGCGTGCCAGTGGCCATCGAAGGTGAGCATTTGCCTACTGAAGTCGGTTACGACGCCGAACTGCAGTCAGGTCAAGACCCTGGTGAGGACGACGAGTACGCCGGTGAGCTTCCCTGAGACGGTTTCTGACAGTTTGTGCAGAAATTATTCGGTTGTGTAAACCCACAGTTTCATCAGCTGTCTGGGTGGCTGGTCTCAGGCGATCCCACAGGTGAAGAAGCCGGATGAGGAGGTCCTGGGCTGGCGTGGTTACATGTTGTCTGTGGTTGTGAGGCCAGTTGGACCTACTGCCAAATTCTCTATAACGACATTGTTAGCAAAATTAGCATTCAATTCTCTGGCAATAGCTCTGGTGGACATTCCTGCAATCAGCATGCCAATTGCGCTCTCCCTCAGAACTTGACACATCTGTGGCATTGTGTTGTGTGACAAAACTGCACATTTCAGAGTGGCCTTTTATTGTCCCCATCACAAGGTTCACCTGTGTAATGATCATGCTGTTTAATCAGCTTCTTGATATGCCACACCTGTCAGGTGGATGGATTATCTTGGCAAAGGAGAAATGCTCATTAACAGGATCTAAACAAATTTGTGGCCAAGATTTGAGCTAAATAAGCTTTTTGTGCATATGGAACATTTCTGGGATATTTTATTTCAGCTCATGAAGCATGGGACCAACACTTTACATGTTGCGTTTATATTTTTTGTTCAGTTTAATAACATGTCTAAGGTAACAATAGTTTGGAGTGGATGATAAGATTGGTTATTTTCAACATTGGTTGGGTTTTCCCTTTCAAAATCTTCTTTAAAGAGCCTGTGAGAACAATTTGACTGTCTATCCCACAGCCATGTTACATTCACCTGTCAAGTGCCCTCCCTCAACCATTTGAAAACCTTGAAATAAGTTAAATAGACATTAATAAGTAACACGATTTCCAGTGAATAAAAAATTAGCAGATGGTTAACCTTCTAGCATTGGTCTCACCCCTAATGAAGCCTTCACATACGGCCTGGGACCCAAATGAGAAATTCAGTGTTTTCCTGGAACCGTAGCTCATAAAAACATGCCCCCTTTTGGGGGCCCTAAACGAGATTTGGTTAGAAGGCCCCCCACCTAGCGGGCAAAACATTTCAGTCAACTCCCTCTTGATGGTGGAGAGAAAAATGTAAGTATTAAAGTTAATTTCCTGCAATACTACACATTTTGCCATGGGGCAAAGAAATGTAGAGAAAATGTTGCTTTTGTAAACGTCCAATGCAGCCGTTTTTATCTCAATATCAAATAATTTCTGGGTAACAATGAAGTACCTTACTGTGATTGTTTTCATTTAAAATGGTCAAAAAGAAACAAAAATGGCTTCTTAGCAAATAGCAATTTCTCAAGCAAGAATCTTGCTAGGATTTTCTGGGAGTGGTTTGAGTGGGGAGGGGAAAACGGAAAATTAGCTGTTATTGGCAGAGAGGTTTGGAACTCTCTTTCTTTTTGGTCTATTAACTAATTTACCACATGGAATTTTTTACTTCGATACCGAAGGTTTAGTACTCACGATACTCGATACCAAAACGATACCAAATTGATGCAACAGCAAAAAAGGCGTATTAGCTAAGTCACAGAATAACACTTCCCACTTGGTATCCACTGGTTGAATCAACGTTGTTTCCATGTAATTTCAATAAAATTACATTGAACCAATGTGGAATAGACATTGAATGGACATCTGTGCCCAGTGGGTTGATCCAGACAGATAAACTCAGCTACTGCTCGGTTCAATCGTTGGGCATCTTTTGAGTTCAATCATTACATTTCAAATTTGATGTCAACATTTTTCAGAGACAGCCACGTATGCATTAATGAATCAATTATACAATCATGCAATTCATTTGACTTTGTTTTTACCAATGTAACTGCATAAAAATATAATGGTAATCATGTATTTGAATGGTAAATCTCTAATCATAAACTGGGTAAATCAAGATGTAGACTAAGCCTATTCACAATACAGGTGACAGAGTATGTGCATGCATTCGCTGATTTCCTGAAATCCATTTGGGATTAATTTTATTGTACTGATCAAGAATATTTGCATAGAAGTAGCAATCTCTTCTTTTATAAAAGTGTGCGCTGTCTCTTTAACCAAGTAATGACATCATTCATGACCAGGCACATACCCACACAGTTGAGTTCAGTTAGGTGAGGGTCAGGGGAGAAGATGTGACACAGACAAAAGGGGAAAGTATATTTGGACGTGAGGGAAAGACAATTAAGTGAATTAATAACGTTTTTGGTGACAATAAGCTTTGAAATCAGCATATCTTACATTATGGTTTGCATATTATTATTATTATTGTTATTATTATTATTATTATAATCATATTGGCACTCTACTGACAGACCCTGGATGACAGCTGATATCAAGAACATGATGACTCCTTATCAAAAGGAATATGGGCGTGGAAAGAATTCTACACTTTCCACATTCAGAAATCCATCTGTCATGCAAAACAGACATTTTATTCTAACCACATTTCTCATCTTAAAAAAGAAAACCCAAAACAGTGGCACAGACAGGTGCAAACCATGGCTGGAATGAAAAAGGCTAATCTGAAAATCAATATATTCCTGGC